TATGCAACCATTGGATGTGTCAGTGTTTGCCCTGTTTGAAAAAAAATGGCGTCAGATTCTAGACAAATGGCGCAGTGAAACCAAATCGACATCGTCCATTCCGAAAGAATATTTTTCTACACTCCTCAATCGATTGTGGCTTGCAGTCAGTTAGAATGTATCCAATAATCAAAAATCTGGATTAAGAGCCACAGGGCTCTGTCCATTTAATCCACAAGAAGTCCTCGGAAGAATTCCAGATCATCAAGATGACGCAAATGCACAAGCTGCTATCCTAAATGAGAGCCTGACTGATCTGCTTCAAGATCTACGCGGATCAAACACGGCAAAGGTCACTAGAACACCTGATAGAAAAATATCATCCGGTAAACAGCTCAAGGTTGATGCACCTCAATCAAACCTGTCTACAGATGAACCAGTCGCTGGTCCTTCAGGGACCCAGAGAAAGATTCTTACTAGTAGCGACGATGATAGTGACAACGAACCCGATGCAAGGTCAGTTGCAGTTCCTGAGAAAATGCCAATAAGAAATCATTCAAAAAGAGTTGTTGAAGCCATAGATGACGTCTGCGCAATTTGCTCGCAGGAAGTGGAATAACTTCACTTGAAAATTACTGGTGATGATCCGAAACATCTCAAAACGTGACTTACAGTTACAGAACATGACATGCCAAAAATTATAAATATCAATCCCAGCTTACTCTTTTTATCTGATGGCATGTCATAATGACAACGTTATGTCACTCAATTTTGATGACATAAGGAAGCTCATTATGGTACTAAGTACCATAATGAAATTCTATAAGGAAAACATGTAATGGTTTGATCAAAAAAGTTTATTCAAAATGCATAACTATGTACAAAACTATTTATTATAAATGGTAAAAGAACAATTACTACAATTCGTAATATTAATATAATGGCAAAGCACAGCTCACTCACCTACTAATATTTGAAACTACACAATACTTACTCCTTTAAAAATAGTTGTCATTGTGACATGTCGAAAATGCAGTTTTTAATTTTTCGAAAATGTATTGATATAAATGCCATCAGATAAAATTTTGTATGTAATACGAATCATAAACAATCATTATGGCACACGCCGTGTTATCGGACTCGGCTACGCCTCGCCCTCGATAACATTCACGACTTGTACCATAATGATCGTCTTTATGATCCTTATTACATAAATAACTATTATGAGCAAAATTATTTTCTTCCCAAAAAACTTTAACGCCTTGTACCAACTCAACGAAACGATTTTGGATATAGGTAAGTTGACTAAAATCAACTTATTTTCATCCCAGGAGTCTACAGTCAACCCATGTCCCAACCAGATTATTTTTCAAAAAAATGAACAAGATTCCTCAGATCAAAAATACAGATACAAAAAATCTTTCTGGATAACAATACTGGAAGTTTTCAGTCCGACTTCTGAAAAGTTATAACCGAATTTGTACGGCAACATGGTTGTTTGAAACACTTGGAAGTCACTGATGATGATCAAAATCATCTCGAGTTTCTCATTAATATCTTATAAACGCACAAGCCGATTTGAATTGAATTTTCATGGTTTATCAACACAATTATCAGACATTCATTGAACCAATTAGACTTAATCCAGAATTTCCAGGAGCGTACCTATCGAGTTAGTCGGTTATTATTTATATAAAAAGTTCTTCTTCAATATTCAGATAAACCCTGCTAATTTTCCGTATCTTGCATTGTTTTCGAGACAAACAGACAATACCATACCTACTTCGGCATATCTCGCATATATCTGCACTCAATAATGAAAACAAAAAACACTCAGAGAAATAGTCGGTAGTGAATACCAATCGTTTAGTAAAATAGGCGCCAGTCACTACATCCATCAAATAATATAACGACAAAATTGTATCATACTATAAGTATCATGGTGATATTTGATATATTATTTAGTAAAGTATGATACAATTTTGTAGTGGTTTTATTAAATGAATGTAGTGACAGGAACCTATTTCACTAAACGTTTGGTATTTACTATCATCTTTTTTTTTATTGAAGACGATCTTGAAATTTTGTGAGATATATTGATTTAAGATTGAAAAACTATTTTTTTCAAATTTGGACACCTTTTAATATCAGAAACCAAGCATTTTCGGACACAACATCCCCAATATCCTATGACTTTTCTTTTCCTGCTCATTTTTGGAAATTTCAGTTTTTTGTTGTTCAATGATGAAAAAAAAAGGTTGATAGGAGGCTTATTTCAAATTCATTGATTGATAAATGGGACAGCGGAATAGGACATCAAAAAATTTGTGGATCCAACCCGACAGAGCAAAGAATGTTTATTTGAAAAACGAGTCATATATTTGCGTCTCAATCAACAGTGCAGCGTGGTGCAGCGCCCAAGGTGGCGTATGTAGTCACACGGAAAAAAAGGATTTGTTGCATCAACAAATTATTCATGCTCAAATTATTTTTGTTGGACTAAGAAATTTTTTGTTGAATCAACCAGATACATGATTATTTCATGGAAGCAGCTTGTTCAAATCGAGAATGTAGTCTAATTGAATCAACATTATAATTTCAATTCCATCAACAAAATATATGGTTTTATCAAAAACAAATTATGTGGATCCAAAATAATGTCGATGTTGATTCAATTATAAACGTTTTGTTGATTTGATCAAATAATGATCATTTCGATAGGAAAATATCTTTGGAACAACATACAAGTTTTCTTATTCCGATGTAGCAATTTACTTGTTTCGAACGGATCCTTTTCTTGAATAGAGCAACGAAATATGTAATATCAATGAAATATTTTGTTCATTCTACATCAACTTGAATTTTCGCCTCTAGATGGCGATCATTTCACCTCGTCGCCTCGAATTCATTATATACGTGAAGCCTGATTCTTCGTGTTTGAAATATCAACTAGACAAATCGAACTTTGGATGATTAGCAATCCTTAATAGTTTTCCATCAGCTGAAGAGAAGTAAAGACTGATGATCTATGCTAGGAGTCGACTTGTTTCCTAGTTTTGTTTATTCTATTGATGTGAAATTTCAGAAAATTCCCGAATATTGAATTTGGTTCAACAAAACAATTTGTTGAATGTATATATAGTTTCTCTTGAATCGACAAAATATTTCATCGAATTAACCAAATATTTTATTAAATCAAACAAATATTTCGTTGAATCAACTAAATATTTGATTGAAGCAATATCTTATTATTTTGAATCAAACAAAATGATTGTTTGAGCCAATTCAATATCTCTTCAAAACCATTCATGGATGTGCTTGATTGAAGAAGATCCAGAGTTCATGCAAGACATATTTACTTGATTCAAACTTCAAATTCGCTCTGAAAGAAGATATAGATTCACTCATTTCAAGATTAAATTTTGTCGTGCATATATGACACTTCTATTTGCTCCATTCAATTAAATTTTGCCTAATTCGACAATTCTTTTTTTTTCGTGCAGTAGCAAGCCTACAAATAACACACATGTACCGTAATGTCAGTAGCCGCAGTTGGTGCGTACACACATACGAAGAAAGTGCATTATGTACCTTCTTATACATAGGTATAATGAATGGTTTGCATAATATTTGTTGACAAAATTTTATATTCGACAAAAATATGAATTAGGTAGTGCGAAAAAACCCAGCAAGAACTCGATGATAATCTATGGATACTAAAACAAATAACAACACAACAACAAAAAATAAGAGGCACTTCTGCTTGTGCTTGAGGAACAACAAACAAAATGAAAAGTTACTAATAAAAAGATAATATTTTTTATTTCTGACAGTGACATTATAAGCTTATATCGTCATAGTTACGATATCTATCATGAGGGTCATAACTCCCTTGGGACGTTATAGATGCTATAATTCCCTCTAACTAAAATTTAATAAGAAATGCATAGCAACAACCACGCAATAACGTAGCAATAAGGAATCTCCTATTCGCGGTAGTCAAGATCATCATCTGACGTTCTGATGACATTGAAACTATACGGAAAAACATGTCTAACTTCCAATCGGGAAGGTATCTAATGAATGAAATCAGTCAGAAATAAAATTATCTATGTATCACGGGAATTATAGAGCCTCAATAACCTCTGGCAATTGCTGTCCCTCGGGCCAGAGGCCCTCGGGACGCAAGCTTTGCCATCGGTAATTATAAGGCCCTCATAATTCCCTTGATACATAAATAACTATTATTTGGGTTTCGAAAACCATGGATGATTGGTTGACACAAGAGCTTTCAGAATCTCTGAACAGCTGAAAACATGATGACACGTATTAAAGAAAAATGACGATGGTTCTAGGATATAACAAAGATAAATCAATATCATCACATTGAATCTCATGAAAAGTTTATGGTACACTGAACACTGAGTTTCATTTGAATCTCATTCATCAGATACGGCTTATTTTGTCAATCAAATCTGAATTGGAATAGAAAATAATATTTTTTTCAATCATTATACCGGGACTTATGGTAAAATAGGCCATGGACACAATCATGTTTATATAAACGTTTTTTCCATATTTTGTTGATATAGAATCTCCACTAGGCTTTCGTCGCCACAACTCTGAAACACCCTGTAGATATTGATTTTGAATTCATTTAGCAAAAGTAGAGGTACCACTGGCGAAGAAAGTTCAAATAGTACCTACCTATACATGATCAGAGATCATTCATTTCAAAGCGGGCCGGTAATGCCGAACATATCACTTTATTGCCCTAGGGCGGAATAAAATTCGTTGTAGATTGACGTTCATTGCTACAGTTGTCAAATTACTATGTCTCATAGGCTCTTCTATAGATGAACAAAACCGAGCCCTATTTTTGATGACTAATGAAATTTGTCCACATTGTTTGACTCTGGATTACGCTAGCGAAATAAATTATATTACTCATAAATACCTTGTTTTTGGCCATTTACGTTCTTCAGATGAACTATTGTTGAGAATAAAAATAATAATCTAACCTGTCGTGGCAGCACAAAATTGTGGAAAGTACTGTTTCAAACTGGATTTGTGTTCAGTTGAATCAACAACCATGTTAATTAATGGAAAGAAACACGCAAAATAAATATCGAATTCAGCTTCTTATCACTTTTATATAATATTTCTGTACAGGAAAATTTGAAAGCATATTGCTGTAATTTGACGTTATAGAACCAGAGTTATCTGCATCAAGGTCAATGAATAATCGGATAAAGCATAATATGTAAAGATATAGGCCAGTTATAAGAATCAAACATTAGTAGGTATCAAAACTAGAAAAAGTGTTCTGACATGGTATGGCTTGGGGAACATTCATGAAATATTGATTGAACTGTTGAATCAGTTGATGATCCAACAAGAATAATCATTTCCAATAGGTCTACAACAATTTTGTTGTTCATGTAGTAGTAAAACTCCCAGTCATGTCCACAATCATTCAATCAAACAATATAGTTGTACGAACTTACGAAAGAGGAGATTCATTGGATCCAAATTTTTTTCACCTCATCTGAAAGTCATAGGTTTCTATCCTGAAAGATTGTGGAACTGATGCAATATGTACCCGCCTATTTTCAAATGATCTGTCATTTTATTCTCCAGATACTTTTAATATTCCATCCGTAGTAGAAGACAACCTTTGTATATCTTCTATGAAAATAGCCTGAGTATTCATGTGGATTCAATACGAGTCGTTAGGACTCAATATTTCATGATTTTTTCTCAATAAGTGTCCAAGAGCAATATGGAAAACTTGTTTCTGAAACGAAATAGAGATGTGTGACAATCACAATGGACGACATAATTAATATGCGGAGCAACTAGATCTATCGAGCTTCTTTTGTTGTGTTCTGGTTCCGACGAAAAGGGATATCCTGTAATGTTCAGAGAACATCGTGAGAACCAAGGAAAATGGGAAAGGAATTGGTGTTCTTCTTGAATTTCCGGAGATTATATACCTCGGGAAACACCTCCCGTGGCAATGTGTTTCAGAGCCTCGCTGTTCGTTGGATAAACGAGTTTTTAGAAAGAGATGTCCTGCAGGTCTCCAAAGTGACCACGAAGGGGTACGAAGCCTCAACTCGACGGGTCAATCTCGCGAGGACTGCCGAGGGAGGAACGATTGTTATATTTTATAAGAGCATCGTCCATGAGAATTTCTATAAAATGAAGCTAGATCACCATATTTTCTACAGTGTTCCAGAGAAGTGAGTGAGTTTGTGAGCGATGCATCACCCACGAGACGAATTGCCCTTTTTTGGACAGAATCCAACAGTTTCAGGGTATGTTTGGGTGCTGCACTCCAAATATGGAAACAGTATTCCAGGACAAGTCGGATTTGTGCCTAATAGATCATAAGCAGCTGACTTCTGGCCCAAAACAGAAAATAATTTTTTTGGGATGCACTTTTAGCAATTGATCTTACGTGATTTTCCCAAGAAAGGTTATTGCTGATAGTAATACCAAGCATCGAAATGGATGTCTCCAAAGGTATGGTAACTCCTTATAAGCTAATGTTGGGCACAGTGCGACCGGCTTTTCTAGAGAAAAGGCATGCTTGTGTTTTGTTTGCATTGAAATCTTCCAAGTTATTGGATCCCAATTCGTGAATTGTTACCAAGTCCATATTCATGTTGTCAACACGTCTTCCTCGTACGTTTCTGATTTGTCTTGCTAGTATTGGAGCCCTGGAAGAGAAGGCGGTTTGGAGGGTACTATCATCCGCGAAGCTGTGTACTGGACATGAAGTTGCTTCCAACAAATCGTTGATATGGAGTATTAATAGTGTTGGTGCTAGAATTGTACCTTGCGGGACACCAGCATTTATGAAAAAAGATCCTGGTTACCTATTTCATACAACATCATTATCGTTTTATTATTCCCTAGATTATTCACACTGATAAGATGAACCAACTCCATGTGAAATGTTGATGCCAAATGTGGCCTTACCTAAAGGCCTTACTTCTTGGCTGGTTCATAGGCGACGGGAATCTGATCGAGTCCATCTATCTGTAAGTTGCTGAACTATCTAGGAATATTCTTCCTCATGAAGCAGGAAAATTATTAACTCTGATATTGTCAATTTCAAATAATAAAATGAGACATTCCTTTTGCATCCAAACATCTCAAAATGTGCTTGCTTTCTGCATTACCCTTTTTTCCGATCTCTACCCGTCGCTTCTCAGCCAGAAACTGTTCACGTTGACGCTCATAGAAATCGACCCCTACCGAACAAAACTTCTGGATTCATTGCTCTCATAAGGATGACTCATTTTGTGAGTGTATATATAAAGCATTATTCAATGTCAGTCTCAATGAATTCTATGATCAGAAATTTGATGGAATATCATTTACCAGACATAAAGTCACCTACAAATACGCACGATGTTCTTCGAACATTTTTTTTATTCTCTGGTTCCCACGAAAAGGGATATCCTGTAATGTTCAGAGAACATCGTGAGAACCAAGGGAAATGAAGTCGGAATTGGTGTTCTAATTGAATTTCTGGAGGTAATATGCCTCGGGGAACACCTCTCTTGGCAATGTGTTCCGGAGCCTCGCTGCTCGTTGGATGAACGATTCTTTGGAACAAGATGTTCTGTAGGTCTCCAAAGTGAAAACGAAGAGGTCCGAAGCCTCAACTCGACGGGTTAATCTTGCGGGAACTGCCAAGGAAGGAACAATTGTTGATATTTCAGAAGAGCATCGTCCATGAAAATATCTATAAAATAAAGCCAGATCGCCAACTTTTCTTCGGTGTTCCAGAGAAGTGAGTGAGTTTGTGAGCATGGCATCACCCACGAGACGAATTGCCCTTTTTTGGACAGAATCCAACAGTTTCATAAAAATTGGGGTTTTGCTCTAAAAAAAATCAGATCTTATATATTCTATTCCATGTAATGACTGCAATAAAACGTATATCGGTATGACAACACAATACTTAGAAATCAGATTGAAAGGACATCACTACAACAAACAAAACCCAACAGCTCCAACTAAACATTTAATGGATAATGGCCATACCACTTCCTTTAACAATGTCAAAATTCTTGATTGCGAACGTCATTACTACAAAAGATGCATAAAAGAAAAGATATATCAATAAAGACACAAATAGATGAACGACAGAACATATATTAGTAATCTAAGCAGTATCTATCAGACTTATCCTGTAACTGCAAGTCCACTATTCCAAAAATTTTTTTTTCCAATTTTTCACTATTGCATTTCACATCTGCCAAAATTCATGAATCACTCGTGTTGTCAAAGTTGAAAAAAAAAAACAAAAAAGAAGAAGAAAACTCTTACCTGTTAATTGTTCCATGTCATTCTTGTCATCTTTCATTATTTTCAGTCAAATGTCTTTTGCATTGTCATGACAGCTCCAAATTAACCTCAAGAAATCGTAGTTTCCTTCGTTTTTCTATTTCACATGAAATGATGAAACGAAAATGTTTTCAACTTTTTCCAACAGGATAAAGGAATGGGAAATAAAAAGAAATAGTCTTTTTGCGTGAAATTTCCACACGAACACCACAACATTTTGATGAATCACCAGAATTATGAATTGGTTGAGGTACGTACCTCTCTTTTTTTGTGTTAGTTCTCATCACTATCATTCCACGATGTAAATCATTCTCAATGAAAAGCATTATTCACAGAGTCACTAAATTAATAAATTGACAAAGCCCATGGCCATGGGCGAAACGGTTTTTTACTTGATATATCTTTTGAAATTCCTGATGGAATCGAATCCAAACCCCAAGAAGAAGCTGCAAATCAACAACATAAGAGGATTCAAGAAAATCCCTCAACAAACAAATATTGTGAACGTAATATTGACGAGAAGCAGAATATGAACATTCGGCGATATTGGTACGATATCAGTTTTAAAATGTCCTGAAACCATGGGTGACATATTTTCACACCAATATTAGTTGAATATTCGTAGACTTAAATTGGTCATAAAATGTGAAATCATTATTGGTGAGAAATGAACAGTGGACATCTGACAATATCGGTGCAATATCAGTTGGAAATATTGATGAATTATTGAGAATTATCATGATGTTCTTGTCACTTGATGATATTGGTAGAATATGTCCATACCTATGGCGAGACATGAAAGTGTGAACATTCGGAGATATTGGCATCGTCCTGGGGATCACGGTTGACCAATATTTATATTGTCTCGTCTGACCGGCTCTGAGAGAACGTTACAAATCATTCATTACAAATCATTTCTATCGCTATAGAAATGCCGATATCGATATGTATCTTCAACACAATATGTTGAATGAGAACGATTCTCGAATAGAAAAAAGCTGATGAAGAACATCCCAAAATAAGATACGCTATCTATCGAGCTATCTATTTGAAATAACGGAATTGATGTCCTCTACCCGGTATACCGTATAACCGCCATCTTGAGAAATATTCCTATTGAATTGGGCCCGATGAATGATGACCCATATATATATACAAACTTTCAGATCAGTATCATTTTCGAAATCCCAAATAATCATGTGTTGTATGTACAGTCATGGAGAAAGCTATCAACATCGAGCTAAAGAAATACCTGAAACATTCAGGTATTATCAACGATAGGCAATATAACTTCCGTCATCAGAGATCAACTGGTGACCTGCTCGCTTACGTCTCACATATATGGCAGCAATCTATTGGAAAATATGGTGAAACCTTAGCCGTGGCACTTGATATCTCCAAGGCATTCGATCAAGTCTGGCATCACTGACTCCTCCAGTTATGTTCTCTGCTAGCTAGTTCTCTCTCAAACAGGTCTCTTTATGTAGTGGTCGACGGAGTTCCATCTGACCCTCTTATCATAAATGCTAGCTCCAAAACTATTTCTACTCCATATCAACGATTTGGTGGAAGCAACCATGTCCAATACACAGCTTAGCGGATGATAGTACCCGCCTTCTCTTCCAAGGCTCCAATACCAGCAAGGCAAATCAGAAATAAACGAGGGGAAATTGTTGAAAACATGAATATGGACATGGCAACAATTCTTGAATGGGGATCCCATAAATTGGTAGATTTCGATGCAAACAAAACACAAGCATGCCTTTTCTCTTGAAAAGCAGATCTCAATGTGCCCGACATGAGCTTATCAGGAGTTGGTAGTGAATACCAAACGT